CGGTAATAAACTCGCTGAAGCAGCCGAGGTCTGGTCTAGAGTCATATTTTTCGGTGTAGATTCTATACCACTGAGCACGTATAGAGTTTGGCAGTTTGTCGGTGAGGTGTCGTAGCAGCTCTGCGTTGACGAGGTAATGATCTCGCTTTAGAGCTCGAAGAGTGACGACGCTTCCCCACACTTTGCTCGCGAATGTGCAGATGTCCCTGGGTGCTTCTGTACAGCGTGCTAATCCTCGTAACTTCTCGATTTCTGCTTGCGCGATTGAATCTGGACGCCCAAATTGTAGCTCCAGTTCTCGCATAATCTCATCTGGCTTAGCATGCCCGATGAGTTCTGAACTGACTGTTTCCAAGTCTCTTCCTTGTAGACTTCGTCTTAGTCTAGCAGTGTTTTCAATGTCATTGGAGTAGCCTCGGGTTGTTTCGTAAATGGCTCGGAATGAAAGCCACTCGGTATGTGATCTGCTAAACCTTCGGACTGTCATTATATAGTTAATCCTACGAAATCTCAGGCCATCATAATAGGCAGCAGGCATTTGCTTAATAAATTAGAATTTACATCACTACCTCTTGTCTGTTTTAGTGGCGTTCCTCTACCCTTTACCAATACAGTCAAAAACTTAGGTGTCATATTTGATCAAAATTTATCTTGGACCACGCAAATCGCTGAGGTTAGTCGTGAGGTCCACTTTACCATGCATTCGCTTAAATGTCTACAAAATTTCTTACCCCTCAAAGCTAAAATATAACTCGTGCTTACTCTTATCCCCTCCTCCCCTTGATTAAGTTTTTTAAGAATATACAGAAATTGCGATATCTACGATATGTATTTTAATGGTTTCATTATCAGGTGTTAGTTTAAGTTTCTTATGTAGTTTATCACCATTTCTCATGCATCTTAAGATAACAGGGGTTATCCATGGCTTTAATGTGGCTTTACGATGGGACAATCTTATATTTTTAGTGTTGTTTTCCAGTGCTTTTGATAAAGTTTCTATTAAGAAATTTGCTACTTCTTCAGGATTATTATTGTCATATATTTGATCAAAATTTGCGTCTACTAAAAACTGGTGATCAATTTTTCGAATAATTCTGTTAAAATAGCATTTATTTTCATGCTGGCACACCGCTTACAACTTTACAAGACGCGGGTTAGATTTCACATGGAATACTGTTCTTATCTCTGGGTCGGGGCTACCCAGTGCATCATACCTCTTCCACTTGACAGCATTCAGCATAGAGCGGCTCGAATCTTCGACGACCGAGTCTCTGATCGGCTAAATTGCTCGATTCACTGGCGCTGCGATAAGATGTTGCATCTATTTGCATATTCTATCGCATTTACCACGGAAAGTGCTGTTTGGCGGTCCATTACGTGTAATTTTACTAGGAGTTTTCTTTCTTGCACGATTTCTTTGTGTAATCGTTTAGGTACTACCGGCCAAATAAAAAAATAATTTTTCCAAACTAGTGTTGCCCAAATGCAATAACAAGACGAGACTTACACCTGGTCAATACACCTGGTCTTGTTCTTGGTCTTGGTATTGCGCTCTCAGTCTTGTTCTTGATCTTGGTCTTGCAGCAAGAGTCTCGCAAGTCCCGCAATTACCTATTAGCCTATTGTTATTTATTGAACGTTACTTTAGATCTTAGAACAACTTAACAGAGTATGCACATTTTGAGCTTGAATTAACATAGCCATAGAAAGACCAACCAAATTAATAAATGTCTAAACATTTAATAAGAAATTCGAATAATCAACTAATACCGGGTGGGGTTTGAACCCACTACCTAAGCGATCTGTGCCGATGCTCTAACCAACTGAACTGTCTACCAAGTCTCACGGCCACGGGAGTTAGTCTGTTTCTTAATAAACGTTTACATTTAATAAGCTTACATGTGCTAAATCTTAGTCAAAACATATAAAAAACAAATTAATGACATTAACTTGACTGTATTATAAAGAACATTATTTGTCTAGAAAGAGATTGATAGACCCTTATATGAAATGGAATAAAAGAGTTATATAATTTACCTTTCTAGCTCAATTGGGAATGACTGGAATTAAAATAAATACTACTATTTGTAAGTACACGCCGAAAGACCGACAAAGGAAAGTTCGGCATCCTTTGATAAAATTAATGATTCTTCAGAAGATTAATAAAGTAGATGCGTTGCCAAATAGGTATAGTGTGCCTACGTAAAAATGAAATGTAAATATGTAAATAAAATTGTGTATATTATGTTCTTCTTGTGATTGAATTAATCTACGTTAATTAAATTTGCCTTCACTCGTTTGAAATTCAAAATTCAAATATGTTTTATTCAAGTAGGCATTAAAAATACACTTTTGAATAGTCATATAATCACTGTTTTCCCCAATTTTTCTTTTCCATGTCCAGGGGTTCTGATTCTACTGAGAAGAATCATGGAAGAAAGTAAGAAACTCAGTAGTTGCTCTTTTCAAAATATTTTTACAATAGTTCTATAATTATGTAAAGCGATAAGTCAAACATAAAATGTCAAATGTATATGTAGATACCAAATCGGTTTAGAAATTTCTAGTTAGTCCTGTAGTACGAGAGGTCAGTTCCAAGCATTTTTGTCTGACTTAAATTGAAAAGGTGAAAGATCTAACATTTCTTTTGGAATCTTATTATAAAAGCGTATATCGCTACCCAAGAACGCATTATATACTTTGTGTAACCGGAAAGCAGGTATTGTGATTTTATTTTTATTTCTACTATTAAAATTGTGCAAATCACTATTGTTTACATCAATTCGATGCAATCAATTTCTTTGAACGGTTCTCTAAGAGATACTCGGGCTCCTAAAAAGTACATAGATCTTATTTTACGCTTTTTATTTAATATGCACACTTTTATATTATTCGATTAGCATTGTACAAAATGTTTACACGTTTCAAGTGTGTTAAAAGTGTCTACACTATTTATCAAATGAGTGACGACGTATTCGAACACTATGTATTCAAAACACACGCTTCCAAAAATCGAGATTTGCAGTGAACTTATTGAACATGTTTATCTATTAGGTAATAGTAATAGTAAGTAATTATTATAAACCCTTTTAGTTAATAATATAACAATTACTTACTAGAATAAATTATTATGGAATAGAATATATATATAAATTATTATAATTAATATATTATATATATACCTATCCTTACCATTATCTAATTACAATATTCCTTGCGAGATCAGCATAATGTATTCGTGTCCATTCTGAGCACCCGGAAACTTATTTTATTCTTTGGAACATGTACTCTGTGGCGGCATTCAAACAGTGTCAAATGTAGTGCGTGCGGCGCGGCGGCGACGATTGAATGCGATATCAATAGAAGCCGCTGGCGCGTATATCTTGACCTTGTACTTCCGAATAGCTGCAAAATTTCTTTGACAGGTCAGTATTCGACCTTTGATGATGCCGACAACAAGACGCCGCGCACTATCAAAGTGCCGATGGTCAAAACTAGGGATGCACTATTTTTTCTTTTAATGGATATTTTCATCCGCTATGTATGTTTATGGTATTGTTGCGAATAAGTCCAATTTTCCAAAATTTTTTTATATATTTTTTTGCGTCTCATCGAGTCCCTAAGCGTATACCCGAATTCCTATACTCCCTGAAACGACACTGATTCCTAACTGCAAGACCCAAGAGTCTCGCAGGCTCTTGTTCTTGCTCAAATCTTGTACGGCCAGTCTTGGTCTTGGTCTTGCTAAAATTAGGCGGTCTTGTTCTTGGTCTTGCAAAAATGCAAGAACAAGACCAAGACTGCAAGACCAAGACCGATTTTGGGCATCACTATTCCGAACCAATACGACTTAGGGATCTTCAAGAAACGAGCTTACGTGTTTTAAAAGGCCACAACGCACCTGCATTTCTGGTGTTTGTTGTATTAGTTGTGTTATGAGCGACGGTTGACATGTACGATCAGGTTAGCCTCATAATCATTTGCCCCCTCTTCTATAAATAAAACACAATAAAACCAAGAAGAACCCACCTAGCCCTATGGTGGTTACGCCACTGCACATAATCCAGTAGTAACGAGGAGATAAGTTTGATATAATCACCACGTTTGGATGGCGAGTTGATGATGGCAGGATTAGATATTATATTTATGCTTAGGGTCTGCTAATTTTGTGGATGGCTATCCTTTTTTTCTTACAAGGGTAAATGCTTACGCATACCCGCTTCGCGAGGGCAAGCACGGGTTATGTCAGACTCGCATCGACGGAAACTCCATGGTGTTCACCCTCGTTGCATATTGGCAGGGCCACGGGAACGCTTTCGCACACATCCGCGGCCCCACCAGCACCGGCTGCTCCATGATGGCGCCTCCTCGGAAGAGGACTACTATCCCCTTTCTCCTTCTCAAGTACCTAAGACGCATCAGAACACATGGCACGTCTTTCTCCACGGTCTCCAACCACACCTGCGCAACTAACGCCCTCGTGTCCGATGCGCGAAGGTCATGGGGTCAGGAAAAACGAGCACTCAGAAGTACTAGCTTTCCTGACCCCAGCGACGGATCTGGTCTATGGCTCCGCCACCAAACAAGATTCGGCTGCGGAGGGTAGGGAGAGCGGCGCCTCGCAATACCGACATTACTTTCCTCCCGCAGCCCCACGAAGCGCATCAATGTCAAGTGTAGTCACCACGCTCGCACGCCCTTCACCTCGGGCCAGCCATGTGGGTTCCTCTTTGTTCACCGCGGCCGATTAAGCCACGACTACTAAGCCCCCCCCCCCCTGCTACAACAAGGCGGGAATCAATTCGAAATGGGTGGATGGCTATCCTGCTAATCCATTAGAAACCAAGGCTATTTTCTGTTAATTTTGAAGTACATATGGTGAAATTTAATATCTTTTTTTTGTTACAAAGGAAAATAAAATAGGTGGAATTCCAAATGACACTTTAATCACAATTTTATAAGTATATCAACTAACACAAAATGTTGAGATGAACATGATGTTATGTAAGTTTACACAATATTCCTTTCCTGTTTAGAACTGGTGAATCAATTAATTGCATCGTGAGTTCCTTAGGCGCTTCTTCTAGTTCCAGTACAAATATGCTGTTATTTTCCGGACGAAGCCATACACCTGGTACATAAAGTGTAATTTGAGGTCCCACCCTGGGCCAGTAGCGACCCAAGTTATGACCATTAATCCACACGTAACCCTGGAAGAATAAGGACATGAGTTAACTCAAAGAAACGCTTTGTTTTCTTCCTCCTTTTTAATAACTGATCTAGTTTCTGGGCGGTAATTTATAGTAATTTACTCCTTATGTCTAAAACAATAAGCAAGAAATGTCATTCTAATACCATGTAGTGGCGGTGTGCCATGGGTGTTCACTACCCCATATCGTCCCATGAGTGTTATAAGATGCGACAGTGCAATCCACACCAGGAGATGGGCGGCAGCGTACAAAAAAAAACGTAACGGTCGTTTCAATATTCAAATGTGTACAAAAATAAAAAAAGATCACAGAGCCTTTTTTACAGAATAAAGGTGATGAACGAGCGCACAGTCCACCTGATGGTAAGTGGATGCTGTGGCCCATAGACATCTACATTCCATTAAGAATCAAAATGTAGATGCGTTGTCACCCCTGAGGACTAAGATGGAATACCTCAATCCCAGTAAATCATTTTTTCCATTTTTTTCCATTTAATCAAATAATTTTTATACGTGGTAGAGCCACGCTGCAGCTATATTATGGTAGTAGCACGAATGCGTCGGCTCGACCGAGGAAGGACACCGCTCTCACAAAATACCTGCGTAAAATAGCAGATTGATACCGCTGTGTTTCGTATGGTGAGTGTAGAGAACCGGAGACCCGCTTTTTACTGGAAACGAGGCATTCCATCTTAGTCCTCACGGGTGACAACGCATCTACATTTTTGAGGCGTAATCGAGGATAGATGTAGATGTCTATGGGCCACAGCAACCACTTAACATCGGGTGGACTGTGTGCTCGTTTGTCACCCTATCCTATAAAAAAATAAAAAAAAAAAAATATGGGGTATCATTGGATTCTAGTAGTTTCTAGTTAGTTATGGAAGTGAGATAGGGAATTTTTACACTTTTCAGTAAACTTTTTAAGCAAATTAAGCTTGTTTGTGCTGTCGATTTTAAAGCATATTTTTACAATCTAAAGGTTACCTACATAGTTTCCACCACGTAAGTTCTTTTTCGGTACAGATATTAAGCCTTAATTAAGATGACATTGCACTACAGACAACGTTTTCGTCGTTACTGTAAAAAATTGTCTATTTCGTTCGATTGTAAATTATATATATATATATATATATATATATATATATATATATATATATATATATATATATATATATATTGTATATATTAAATATAGGGTGTTGCATTGCATACCTTACTCCAACCGGTGGTATCCAAATAGGTGTCTAGAAGATTTTCGGCACTCGAGACCGTAAAGGACCCTTCGAATAAAACTGGACCTCGTTTAAGTTCAACTTCATTAACTAGAGGTTTTTCTGTTGAAGTGTTGAAAACTAAAGGAAAACCTGTAACTGTCCATTTGCCATCCAGAACAGTGTTGTTGTGTTCCACTGTGCTAAGAATACCCTGAAACAAAGTTGTTTTGATATTTTTTTTAGAATTTGTGAAATAATCCGATTTTATATAGTTTCAAAATTTACTACTATATTATTTCTTTTTTATTAACTTTAAATTAATATTATCTAAGTTACATCTCAGCATACTCATTTATATATACGTCCCACGATTGGGCAGAGGCTTCCTCTCCATTCCGAGAGGTTTTTAGTGCAAGAAAAACTCCACAGCAAGGCCTCAATGTAGGCTTCACTTGTTCAAGAAATACTAAAAAATAAGTATAGATTTCCGCATAAGTTTTTCCTTTAAAGACCGAATACATAGTAAATCAGAGTCAGAGTCACCACAACTTACTATTACTTATAGAGATCAATTATAATAAACTAAATTGATGTATACTGTCTTCCGAATTTAGACGGTGCTGGTATCTGTACTGTGCTGTTTAAGTCATTTTTTTAAAATATACTGGATAACCTTTTTTGCCTTCTGGAAAAAATTAACCTAAACAAAAAACAAAAATTTTGAATTAAAAAAATTAATTAAAATTTATCGAAATTCAAATTATATATTCAACATTTTTATTTTTTTTTTCTAAAATATCAGTACCTTAGGCTTCTACTCCGTTCACATATTTTACCCTATTTTTTCCAGACGGTAAAAACGGTCGTCGAATATATTCTCCCATCCAACCACAAGATTGTATTTAGCCAGTTTTAAAGACAAACAGGCTTGAAAAATGTTTTGATGTATTTTCCATTACACATCCACCTCTGATTCTATTCTTCTTATTTGACTGCAATAGGTGTTTACTGGGTTCTAGGACTCCGTTACCGCCCATGAGTTCATCCGACTAGGAACCACTCTCTTGCCTATTTTTGTCGCCAATTAAAAGTGCCTGCACTGCCGTGTTCTTGTCTGAAGTATATAGAGAGCCAGGTAATTTTGTCTTTTTTTTAAATATTAGTAATGCTTTTAACGTTACCAATATTACTTTTAACCACTCCGGTAAGCTTAAAATGCTTGCGTTAAGAGTGGTTCACCACAGTAATCGAACGCGGATTCGAACCCACGACCTTTTGAGTTCGCGGTCCGCACCCTGCCCTGAGGCTACTGTCGCTACAAATTACTGTAATTACAGGCTATGAGGCGTTCCATCTTAGTTTTCAGGCGTGACAACGCATCTGCAATCATCTTCAGTGTCAATTTCATAGTACGCAATCAACTCGGTTGATCCCGATCGGCACTGTTAACAGTTTAATCGCAATTTTATGTGTCTACTGAAGTACTACGCACTCGAAGGTAAACATCGTAAGGAAAACCGCATAATATATGAGAAAGTTGAAATCGTTCGGGGATTTTCAAAGTTTTTAAAAAGTCACTTAAGCCTGTGCCCAACAGAGAGGGAAACGAAAATGGTTCCTTAGTTTATAGCTCGTAACGTGTTCGGCGGTGAAGAAAAACATCGTGGGGAAACCTGCACGTCTGATGAATAAGGATCGAAGTCACGTGAAGTTCGTAAACACGCATTGGGGCATCACGGCGGACATTTCCTTGCCCTAACACCCTCTCAGAAATGAGAGGTCTGTGCCCAGCAGTGGGAAGCATATAGCCCGTATAACTCTTTCTTAGTTTACAAATGAGATAGATGGAGATCGAATTTACTATCAGAGTATGTAATACTTAAAAAATACAGTGCTTAATATTTAAATTCTTAAAACAAGTTCAACAACAAGTTCAACCTATACTGGTAGCGAAACTTACGTTACTTTTTTACCATATAGTAAAAAAGTAAAGTAAAGTTACAACCTTTATACGTCCCACTGCTGGGCACAGGCCTCCTCTCATTGCTGAGAGGGTTTTAGGGCAAGGAATTGTCCGCCACGCTGCCCCAATGCGTTTAAATGGTATGTAGGTCAAAACCAAACTAATTTCGACAGAAGATAGGAAGATTTAGGGTGTGTACTGACGAGGACGTAAATTCGTGTATTTTAATGCGAACCACTAATAAGTAGTATAAATATTAAAAGGTGTAGAGGTAGACCGAGACTAACTTTCGAAGACTATGTGAGCAAATTACTCGAAGAGGGGAAGGTCAAGAGTACTCGGATACCTAGACGTGCATGTATGAAGAAGTTAATGAACATGAAAGAAACGAAAGAGGTATGTAAGGATCGTGACACTTGGAGATCTGTTCTCTCTGGCTACCCCGTTAGGGATTGTGCGTGAAGATAAGAAAACGAATATGTCTGTCGTCCACGTGTTGAAATTTTTCCAAAAAAGAGAATCTTTGCTGGTTAGAATCATCGCCAATCAGTACGCATCTACAGTATTTAGCATGCTTTGGTACACAAAATTGCACAATTTTAATTTAGTGCTTAAATTGAATTCTGGATGTAATGTAATGTAGTAGTATATTTATTACTTACTTTGTAGTCATGAAGGTGGCTGCCAAAATTGATACGCCCCTGGTTTTCCACCAGTAACGAAAGGGTGGAACCAGGTTTACATTTGATACTTAGGGTGTATTGTTTACACATTCTGTACAAGATGCCTTGCAGCTCCTGACAAAACATGAAATATACATACATATAGTTTTAATTGTGGTAATGACTTGAATGATTATATTATTTAATATAGAGACTTGCCAATTGATTATCACCACTACAGTAGACCTATATTGATTTTTTAGTTATTATTCCAGTGCTTATTTACAATCCCACCTGATGGCAAGTTGTGCCCTAGATGAATTGGATCAGCTTATTCACTCACGCCTTGCAGGCATGGTTATTGAAGGGAGAGGCCGACGCAAGCTAACACATTTTAGTGTTAGCGAGGCATTCGTCACGTATATGTAGGTTCATTCGACAGATATGTATCTATTGCCCAAATACTCAAACGATAATCAATTTTAACGTTAACTGAATTTCTGCTGTACCGCATTTCATAATTTACTGTTATATACAATATATAACATAACAATTCTTTCTCTACACACTCTCTCTATCTCTATATCTCTCTCTCTCACACACAGACACACACACACACACACACACACGCACACACGCACTGAAACATATACATGATATGGGCAGCAGCATCTTTCCGATAACAACCACGAAACAAATTCGATGGCAACCCGCCTTCCAATCGAAGCAACTATAGCAAGCCACTATAAGGCAATTTTGTAGAACTCGTGAAAGGCTGCAATGAATAAATAAGTTAGAAGTAGAGTATCAAGCATAGTAGTGTTTAATATCTTCTAATCAGAAGAACTAATATTGTTGCGCGCCTAAGTTGACGTTATGTACCCGGCACTAGCGCCATCTAGTGTCGGGGACGAGAGCGAGGGGAACTTTCCAGAAAATGACATCACTAATCTTTTAACCGACAGCGCCATCTAGTATCGAAACGAAGAACTAAGCTTCTAGAAGCCGACACTCGAACTTTCGTTGCCTTGTCGATTGGTGCGCGTATTTACTTCAATATTCTGGATGTTTCGGTGATAATGTGTATTTATAGGCGCTGCAAGATGCGATCGGGGAAGTATTGAATTTGGCGAGACAAGCGAAGCTTCGGAGCGAAATAAAGTGAATCAGTGTGATTAATTATTAGTGTTTTAAGTTTAATTATTGTAAAGTGAATTAAAGTGTTAATTTTGGTAATTCAATCGGCAGTTTTTATTGCAACGAACCTCAAGCTCGTAACAATATGAAGCGTTTTTACGTGGTAGAGCTACCCTACAGCTATATTATGGTTGTAGCATAAATGGTCGGCTCGACCGGAGCAGGAACACGCTCTCACAGAGTACCAGCGTTCCTGTGTATCTGCGTGTAGAGCTGAGCGTGTGTCTGAGCTGAGCGAGAGGATTGGTGTCGTAAAGTGAATGTAGAGGACCGGTGATCCTTTTTACTGGAAACGAGGCATTCCATCTTAATCCTCAGGGGTGACAATGCATCTGTATTTTGATTCTTAATTCAGTATGAATGTAGATGTCTATGGGCCACAGTATCCACTTACCATCAGGGGACCGTGTGCTTTTTTGTCACTCTTATTTTATAGAAAAAAACTTGATTCATCATAATAAAAAATATAAGTTAAAAAAAATTAAGCGATAAATTTTTAAGAAGTACTTACGCCGTCAACATAAACATACACATTGTCCCGAGGCTTGGCTATTTTCAATTGTCCATCCGTATCATTGAGTGTTGTCTCATAAAGAAGCAACCCAGCTCGCTGTCTTAAAGACTCGAAGGTTGGAAGTTTAGAACCTATGACATCTTCGTATTTCTTTCCTAAGTGATTCCGTCCCTTGGTACTTAAAATACTGCCTCTGGGTTGTAAAGTAATTTCTCCGTAGGCTGCTTTCTTAGACGGTTCTGGTGCTGTGATATTTTTAATTTCTGGATAATACTGTAAGCAAACCGCACACATTGCACTTTTAGTGACACATGCTGATAACTGATTATTAAAACAATGTGACATTACTGACCTCGGATAAAAGATTTCTTATAAGGTAATATTTTTCGGTTGGATCCCCAGCTTCACTTAAAGGAGCATCGTAGTCATATGACGTTATATCAGGTAAATAAGTGTTTTCGTAATTCGCCCCTGGAATAAAATTCAACTTCGTAATACAAATATGTGCATATTTAACAGTTACGTTAATTTGCTTTTTTGTAACTTTTAACTTCTTTCAGTCATATTGTTGAAAACTTACCGGCACTAAATTCGAAATTAGAACCTCCGAAGAACATATAGAAGTTAACGTTGAAATTATTATTCAACATGATACGTAGCGTGTCTACAACATCATTCCCCGAAATTTGTTGTAAAGATTCATTCCAGTGAGTGAGCCAGCCTGAGTAGTATTCGGAATTCATTAACGGCCCACGAGGAAAATAGCGACGGAAAGTTTGGATTATATTTGTTATATTATATAGACTCTGTAAACAAAACAATATTTTTGTAACCATATCACTTCGGAAATTTTTTCCAATAAAATATATTTTTTTTAAATTTATTAAAAATGTGTTTTGAGAAAAATGCGGATTGCAAGACAATATTGTAACCATGATTAAGAAAGGAATGCTTCGTTGGTTTGGTAATGTAGAAAGAACGAATGAGGAAGGACTGACGAAGCAAATTTATGTTGCAGAAGTGAAAGGAAGAGTCGGCAAGGGACGTCATTTACGAAAGTTTATCTGGCAAAATTAACAGTACCCTTAAACGACGAGCATAATATGTAGACGTATATGGAGCGTATATGGACGTGAAGGATGCGAGAGAGGTGTGTCAGGATCATGCCAAATGGAATTAATCCCGTAGTCTCTGCCTAACCCTCTTTTGGATGACAGGCCTGAGTATTTAAGTTAAATGTCATGTTATGTAAAAAATATCAAAATACAAAATTTTATCTAAATTATTACAACCTTTTCCGAGAAACCAATTACATCTCATACACTGGGTGATTTGTTTACCATCTGGAAAAAATAGGGTGTAAAAGTTGAGCAGAATAGAAGCTTGTGGCACTGATATTTTAGATTTTTTTATTTTACATTAATATAATATTATGAAATTAATCAATAGATATTACTAATTTTTGAACTAAATAAATAAATCAATTACAAACTATCAAAATTAAAATAATACGTACCTACCCAATTAGTAGTACTTTTTGATAGATCAATTTCATTATAAGTTAATGTAAAATAAAATAAAAATTGTAAAATATCGGTGCCGTAGGCTTCCATTCCTTTCACTATTACATCCTATTTTTTCCAGACGTTAAAAAATCATCCGTTATAACAATCTCGTGTCACAGTGTTTGTGGTCGTACTCCTCCGGAACGGATCGACCAATTTTTATGAGTTTCTTTTAAGTATAGTAGATACGAGAATAGGTCGTAAAGTATATTTAGGCCCGGTAGGTGGCGGTGTTGTGAAAATCACCAAAAAGCGGAACGATGGTACACCTATAATAACATACAAGATAAAATTAATGTCATATATTACGTACTAACACCAAAATCAATTGTAGCGACTGCACCGTCAATTGAACCGTCCGTGAACATGCTTGGGTAAGTCCCGTCCGTTGTATACAACAAAGCTTTGTTTCCGACGTGTTTCAGTAATATATCACGAATTTCTGCCATGTATTTTTTATCGCCCCCATAGCTTCCATACTCGTTTTCAACCTAGAAGTTAATGATTATATACTTCTTTTGTATCTGTACAATCGCATTTAAAAGAAAAAAATATAACTACCTGAACTAAAATAATCGGACCACCGTTTCCTATCAATAGAGGGTTCAAATACGAAAACAGTTTTTCCATCCATACTTTAGTTTCTCGAATAAAATCTGAAGAAATACATATTTTAGTGTAATGTAATTTTTCATAAAGATATTTACCTAATTTTTAACACATGCAATGCTTAATACTACCTTTGTTAAGAGTACGCAGCCTAATATTGGGATATTTGCCAAGCAGCCAATATGGAAATCCACCCTGGAAATAAAATAATAACAAATACATGCATTAATTAAATAGTTTGCAGTTATGCTAAACGATCATATTAATTCTTAAAATATTAAAAGTAAAGTTATACATATATACTTCTCACAACTGGGCACAAATTTCCTATAATTTTTGAGAAGGTTATAAAATATATCCAAAATCTTCATGTCTGAGCATAAAGATTTTCCATGCCTTCCTTCACCGTCGAGCACGTGGTAAATCAGCACTTATATTTGCAATTAATCTTAAGATCTTAATATTTATCTTCCGGATATGGAAGGGCCCAAGGTATGCAACTACATTATTTTTATTAATTTTTTTTTGTGTGAGTGTGACAAACGTGCACATAATTAAGATAATAGTAAGTAAAGTAAAGTAAAGTTACAGCCTATACATGTCCCACTGCGGGGCACAGGCCTCCCCTCATTTCTGAGAGGGTTTTAGGGCACGGAAGTGTCCGCCGCGCTGCCCCAATGCGTGTTGGCGAACTTCACATGTCTTCGAAATATTTTTTTTATTCCTCAGACATGCAGGTTTCCTCACGATGTTTTCCTTCACCACCGAGGACGTGGTAAATCAGCACTTACGATTTATTAATTAAGATAATAGTACCTACGTAAATTTTGTTTTAGAATAAAGATGTTGAAAGATAGATAGATGTAGAGAGCGTTTTCACCCCTGATTACTAAGATAGAATGCTTCATTATCAGATTACCAGTAAATAGGGTTTAGTTCTCTACACTCACCAGAAAAAATACAGCAGCATTTAGCTGATATTTTACCGTGGTATTATGTGAGAGCGTGGTCCTTCCCAATTCGAACCAAACCATTCTTGCTGCAACTATGTATAACATAGCTGTAGCGTCTACTCGTAAGCACGTTACAAAAATTCGACAAGAACAAAACTACTTATGTATGTATATTAGTTTGATAATACACACCAAATCTCTTTCAGCGCATATATATGGCCCGGGTCGCAGCAAAACGTAGAGCCCTTCTTCAGCGGCAATTTGTATGAAACGAGCAACGTCGTAGTCGCCCTCAAACATATACTGTCTTTCTTCTGGTTCATGATAGCTCCATTCCACATACCTAAAAATGTGGTTAATAAGTGTCATACGTGGTTCTTTACGCCCGGCCATATGAGGAAACTCATTGAGTGCTGGAAAGGGCTATGCCCGGAATTTTCGGATTTTTTCTAATAAAACGTAACGAGGATATCCGCGGTTCAACAAACGTAGTAATACTGATAGTGAAATGTTTCGCTTTCAAGCCAATTTGGAAATTGAAAAAAGGAGAGTTCCGCACCGCTCAAATATTTGCCAGATTTTTTATTTCATGGCATATGATATTAAACTGTTTTGATGTAGGTAGATGGAAATGGAATATTTTATTTCACAGACGTGTTCTCCTCCTCGTGTCTTACTTCACCGTTAACTATTATAGAGATTGGTAGCGCTCTTATAGTTCATATATGGATTTAACGAAATCAAGAATATAATTGAAGTTATAAGTAAAAAGGAGCTCATTAACTTATTTAATTATCTATCTTGGTTATTTTTAATACTGACTGATAACCGAACTGATCAAACTAAGCGATCGTCTTTGTCTTTGTTCTGAGATGTTAATGCTGTTAAGCTTTTAATTATTACAGCTTCATCTGAATCAGGTAATGTTTCATGTCCTTGAGGAGGTTTGCGGGTTCGAGGTGGCCCTCTTTAACCGGGCATATTCGCGGGGGACACGACTCCCCCGGTACTGGGTGCTGCCACGCAGCTTGTTTGTAGGAATGTTGCGCACTTCACGCCATCAGGCTAGGTGTCGGGAACGCTCACTCGTCCCCGGCGGCTCACTCGCCGGGCGGTGAGCGTAGGAGTTCACGTGGGAGTGGCCACCCATTAGAAGGGCGCGTATGTAATGGTGCCAGTTCGGACCGTCTGCGCGGTCGAACAATCATCTCGCAGTACGGGCCACAAATTCGTGTATAGACTCGATTTTAAGGTCCCTGGCTATGAGGTCATTTCTGACATAGCGGCCTACTCCCTTGATCGTCCTGAGCACTAGATTCTGCTAGGCTTGCAGCCTCTTGCTGGCGTCTTGACGTCGACTTGTCTGTGTGGTCGATGTTAGCGCGTACCAGGCTGGCGCTGCATAAGTAAACCGTGAGCGTCTTTCGTCCTTAGTGGGAGTGTGGATGCCAATATTAGGTATAGTTTCGCTCGTGCGACTCTGGCCTGAACCACGACGTGGTCGACCATAGGAGTCATTCGCAACGAGCGATCTATCTGGCATCCTAGGTAGGTGGTAGTACCTTTCCAACCTACGTCCTGCCCACGGAGTCGCAAGGTTGGTAGGGTGCGTCTCAGCCTGGTCGCGAAGGTGGCGGTCTTTCCGACGTTGACCGCTATCCTCCATCTGTCCAGCCAATATGGCAACAAGTCCAGCAGTCTCTGCAGCTTCTTTGCCAACTTCTTTGCCGCGAGTTCTACCCGACGATGTGACGTGAAGTACGCACTGTCGTCTGCACATAACGCGAGCGCAACATCGTCTTCCCACTCCTCCAGGTGACCTTGGAGTGTGGGGATGTCGTTGGTGTACACCGCGTACAGGTGGGGTGATAGGCAGCTGCCCTGCGGCACTCCCGCTTCAACCGGTCGTGCTACCGAGACAGCCTCCTCAATGTTGACATAGAAGCTCCGCCCCTCCAGGAGCGACGCTATTAGCCGCACAAGCATTGGCGGCAAGGTGGTGTTATCAATTAATTTATGGAGTAGCCCTGCGTGCCCGTACACACATGCGGTCGCGATTGTGCTCGGCCGCAATATAGTGCAGCGCGCGGGCTAGTTGGGCTGTGGTGGAATGTGCTCTGCGGAAGCCAAATTGTTCCTCCCGCAGAGCAATATGTGGCAGTAGTCTATGGAGTGTGATTTTTTCAAAGAGCTTTGCTATGTGTGGTAATAGCGTTATGGGGCGGTAGCTAGCCGGGTACCTCCTGTCCTTACCCGGCTTTGGTAGCACGACAATCTTGCCCCGTTTCCAGTTTGTTGGGAAGTGGCCAGTTCTTAACACGCCGTTAAAAAGTCTGGCCACCTTCACAACTCCCCTTCTGGGCAGCCGCTTTAAGGACATGGTGGTGTCACAATGCCACGCCAATGGCGCGCCTTACCTTCGCCGGCAAGATAAAGTCCTCGCCTCGCAGTGGTGGTGCCGGGTGCAACAGGTATTCCCGTACGCGGTTCACCACCCTCACGGTGTGCTCCGCGTACCCCTCTGCAATAGGGTTTGGTGTAAACTGTAGTTGGAGGTGCTGTGCCATCATTTCCGTCCTCTGCTGGGCGTCATAGACTCTTTTCCCGTGTTGTCCACTAGTGGCAAAACAGGAGGTGGTGTTCTAGTGAGCTGCCGGTTGAGGAGGTGCAGGGAGGTGGATGTCTCCGAGGCTTCGTCGACTCACCTATCCCATGCCTCTCCCCTGTGCGCTATGATCGCCTCCGACAGCTCTTCTGTTATTTTATTGAGTTTGGTTTTGATTTGTGGGCACCGTGTTCGTGCCCAGATCTTTCTCAGCTTCCGCTTTTTAATAAGGTGCAGCTGTATGCTACGTGCTCATTAACTTATTTAATTATCTATCTTGGTTATTTTTAATACTGACTGATAAACGAACTGATCAAACTAAGTGATCGTCTTTGTCTTTGTTCTGAGATGTTAATGCTGTTAACCTTTTAATTATTACAGCTTCATCTGAATCAGGGCCCGCTGCCAGCAACTAAATAATGGCGGCATAACCATCTAGAGCGTTGTAAACTGAAGGTGAAAGACAATATTATAATATAAAATATCGACATAATATTATAAAACTCTAGGTACTTAGTTTTAGACTTTCATTTATATGTCAGTGAAGGATAAATAACAAGCTTATAGCACTAGCTTATAGTCAAATTAGGTATCTATTTATGTGCGAATGTAATAATTGTGAATTTCAGTTTTTACCCTTTCCCAGACTCAGAATAATCTACATTTTTGCAGACGTATAAAGAAACGATATCAAAACCATAAATTTATAATTATATATATATATATATATATATATATATATATATATATATATATAATATAATATGGTATATAATTATATAAACTATATATAGGATATAAATTATAAACTATGGTAAATATACGATATATATATCGACCCCCCCACTAGATGGAGTGACGACCTGGTAAGACATGCAGGAAGTCGATGGATGCAGGTGACTCAGGACCGTGCTTTGTGGCGTTACTTGGGGGAGTCCTATGTTCAGCAGTGGACTTGTGAAAGGCTGTAATGATGATGATGATGATGATATATATATATATATACATATATATATAATTTTAAATTTATTTTTATATTTCTGTCATACTAGGCTGCACTAAAAGTATCGGGAATGGAATATTTCCATTCCCGAACTTTTAGTAAGCCTAGTATATATTTAAAATCTTTTTAGTCGAAAACTCCTTGGTTTTAAAAATCGAATACCATTTATTTATTTAAATAAAGATTCTCGGTCTTGTCACAAGGTTTTGTCAAACTTGTTTAGTCGTTGAGAAAATGGAATTGACTCGAGAAAATTCAAGAGCGATGATTTATTATGACTTTCGAAGTGGTTTAACACAAAAACAGTGTGTTGACCGGATGATTTATGCATTTGGTGATGAAGCCCCATCCAAAACCACAATTTATCGCTGGTTTGCCGAATTTCAACGTGGAAGTGTCAAGCTCAGTGATGATCCCCGTCAAGGTCGTCCAAAAACTGCAGTCACCCAAGAAAAGTTGATGCTGTGCGTAAGCTGATTTAGGAAGATCGACATGTGACATACTGCGAAATTCAGGCAACTTTAGACATTGGCATGAGTCAAATACAAATAATATTGCATGAAAAATTAGGAATATAAAAAATTTGTTTTCCCGATGGATGATACCGCATTCGCTCTGTGAAGAGCAAAAAGCGGCTCGCGTTACTTGGTGCGTCAGACCTCTCGAAAGATTCTACGCAGGATCCTCAAATGCTGTATACAACATCGTATCAGGTGACGAATCCTGGATATATGCGTACGAACTCGAAACAAAAAACCAATCACGAGTTTGGGTGTTCGAAAATGAGTTAAGGCCAACAAAAATTGTTCGTTCACGGAGTGTTGCAAAAGAAAATGGTAGCCACGTTTGTCTCCAAAACCGGCCATGTTACGATTATTCCTCTTGAAGAACAAAGAACGGTTAATGCAGAATGGTATGCTAGCATTTGTTTGCCACAGGTCGTTTCTGAACTCCGTAAAGAGAACTGCAACCGCCGCATCATCCTCCATCACGAGAATGCGAGTTTTCACACCGCACACAGAACAAAAGAGTTTTTAGAGCAAGAAAACATAGAATTATTGGACCATCCGCCGTACAGCCCCGACCTAAGCCCTAATGATTTCTATACTTTCCCTAAAATAAAGAATAAATTGCTTGGCCAGAGATTTTCATCACCTTAAGAAGCTGTGGACGCCTACAAAACGGCCATTTTGGAGACCCCAACTTCCGAATTGAATGGTTGCTTCAATGATTGGTTCCATCGTATGGAAAAATGTATCAAATTTCGCGGAGAATACTTCGAAAAACAATAAATACATTTTTAAATAGTAATGTTGTGTCACTTCCTTGATTCCCGAAATTTTCACTCGTACACGATCACCAATGTCGAATTTATTGACATATGATACATATGATTTCTTCGGACCGCTACGACTTTTAGACTTTAAGAAAAGAGACTACTCCTTTTATTTATAAAACTGAAGGGGCAAACGAATAAACACAGTCCACCTGATGGTAAATGGGTGCTGCAGTCTATAATTACCTACCGAGAGGGTCTAAAGGGAGACAAGTTCACAGACAGTGCAGTCAATTTATACATATTGAAGAAAACTATTTTTACGGATTTTATCACGTTTATTTTACATATTTTTAATTTCCAGTAGTTTCAGGTGCTTTATGGTCACGGAGTGGGCTGAGTACCTACTGTAAAACCTCCGAAACGTCGGGAATTAAAAATAACTAAATTAAACGCGATAAAATCCGTAAAAATAGTTGTATTTAACGTGTAGTATTCGCGTAAATATATGAAAGCACTATGTCAACTTAATACATGTCAGATATTAAATATCTAGATTGCTACATCTGATCTCCGTGGGTCGGCTTTGCGATGAATCGTCCCTAACGAAGACCCATAACATGCAAATTATTATTTATCATTACGCCAACACGAAACAGGTTTAATAAAGCAACTTAAATAGTGGATGAAATCCCTAACCGGGTCAAAGTGGGCAAAAGAAAAATTAACTTACGTTGACACTGCATTGAGCCCTCCCGCTTTTAATTTCCGTAGCCGATCTCTCCAATATAAAGAAGGTAATCTGAAGTAGTGCAGCGATCCTGATATAATTCGGAGCACTTTACCATCCAATACGAAGTCGTCTCCAACCACACTGATGTTACGGCCGGCCTGTGGACGACATTTTTTTTAAAAGGTGAGGGTGACAAACAAGCACATGGTCCACCTGATGGTGTATGGATGCTAGAAAAAGTATTAGACACGTAAATCTATCCTCGATTAAAAATCAAGATGCAGATGCGTTGTCAGTCCTCTCGAAGATCTACTTCATAATCATAATCAGCAAAAAAACTCTGGTTTCACTCACCATCATCATCACTACCATTACAAGTCCACTGCTGAACATAGGCCTCCCTCAAGTAATGCCACAAGGCACGGTCCTGAGCCACTTGCATCCATCAACTTCCTGCATGTCTTACTAGGTCGTCACTCCATCTAGTGGGGGGTCGCTCAACACTTCGCCTACCTGTCGGACCTACCTCGAGAACATTTTTTCACCATCGGTTGTCGGTTCTTCGAGCCATATAGTCGGCCCATTGCCATTTCAGCTTACCAATCCGTTGGGCTATGTCGGTCACTCTGGTTCTACTGCGGATATCCTCATTTCTAAGTTTATCATGCAGAGAAACCCCGAGCATAGCCATTTCCATAGCTCACTGAGCGACCGTGGGCGTCCTCATACGGCCAGCAGTGAAGGACCACGTCCATACGTCATCACTGGCAACACGCACTGGTTGTATAATCTCGTTTTCAGGTAAACGTGACAAGAAACACTCACCATGCTAAATATTAAGTAGTATTTATACATTAAATAAGTTGATTATACATAGTACATTATTTTCTACCAAATGTCAACTTCATCTGCAACTCGTCATAATTTACGTCATTTCCTTTAATAGTGATTTTTGATTTCTGCATTTAGTACAAAGAAATTAAGAAGGATTTGTGCCTGGTAAAAATAAAGCACATAATATATAAATGTGCCAGTGCTAAACACTAGTCAAGCAATCGTAAGTATATTCGTAGTACGTGAGTTGATTACTTGGATAAGTAATCATCAAATCGTATAAATGTGAATAATAATTACTGATTACAATGGCGTTTCTTACAATAGCAATGACTAAATACAAACAACACAAAGGCAAATATCGTAAATTGAAAACCTTGGGAAAGAGCAACCTTCGGCCACGTGTGTTTTGAACGTTTTTTGATATACGTTTTGTTTTTATGTTGAAATTCTATTGTGAGTCCATATTTTAAGATGTAAAGATAATTAACATTTAACTATTATTTAAATGATAATTTATTTCATGAATTGTCTACATGTGGGAATTGTCTAAATTAGATACTAATATTATTACTTATGCATAATTATTTAGACCCGGTAGGTGGCGCTGTTGTGAAAAATCATTCACATATATATATATATATATATATATATATATATATATATATATATATATGTAACGTAAATAACGCACACCCTCAGATTAGTATATTATGTTATAATCATAATACATACACTGAAATTTTAGTTAAACATTTTTATGCACTGATTATTTATCAAATTAGTTATACTAATTCCGGAAGAATGTTGTGGTCACAGTACAAATCCACGAACGCAAAGACTTTAACATGCTTGAAATAAAGTTCATTTTTCTTTATTTTTATTGAATGACAGAATTAGTAATAATACAAATAAAACTGCACTCTTAAAAGTCGCTTAAGTTACGGTCCATTTCAGTTTGCTTTGACTGTAGAAATTTAGTGTGACTGTAATTTACGTATGTACTTTTAATTATTTTTGGGATAAAAAATTACCTACATTAAAATGATAGGAATCGATATATATATATATATATATATATATATATATATATATATATATATATATATATATATATATATATATCGATTGAAGTGACATTTCAAGTGACGCCGAAACTATGCTTAAGGGTTTACCCACACGTACCACAACAACAACCAGAACACGTGGGCGGACGTTTTTGTTTTGGAAATGAATAGTACAATTTACGTGTAAGTTCACCTGAGGCAAGTGTGACAAAACTATAATTACATTTAAATACTTCTACTCTGTAAGGATTTAATATAGATAATTCAGGTTCATAACATCACTTATTAAGTGGTTGTTTGTTTGATCAAGCATTTTAGTATCTTCAAGCAGCATTTTGTAATTTGAGATAATTAAAACTAATTGAGGTGGAAGAGTTACCCATCAATGAGGCAAGTGTGACAGTGCGCTTCTTTTTGAAGTTGAATGATTTACGCAAATTTTTGAAATTGATGAGCTGATACTAACGTCGACATATTTTATGATCTATGAAAACGATTTGAACGTCCATTTTTATGTAAAAATGAATTTTCCTCAACATGAGCCAAGTGTGACTTTTTAACCGATGTAGTGATGTGCCTTAAAATAGATTTACTATACTAGCTCAGGATGTTTTGTAAGTTTAATAAAAACAATGCTAAACTACTAGCGACAACGCAACCACATCGACATTTTGTCGCATAACCACAACGCAACTGCAAAAAGCTGCAGCGACACTATTCACACGTGACGTGACCACATTTTGTCGCTGCGTTGTGGTGTGATTGCTGTAGGTGTGGGTCGATCCTAACTTATAGAACATAATCACGCACACATACGCATATAATTCTCAAATTATTTGCAACCAACAACATGTTTTGTATGTATGTGTGCGCGGTCAGCAGTGCACTTATAGAATACTTTAATACTTGTGTATTATAGTATTCTATGAGTGCACTTTTACAAGTTGATAAAAATAAATACGTATGTGAGGTGAGAGAGTCATTAATAAAAATAAAATACATTGAATACATTTGAAATTGAATGTTTAAATCCAACTTTTTCATTTTATTTCAATCCTATATATAAATGTTAATGGAACTTTAATCGTCAGGGCCATGTGGCAATTGACAGATGGTGAATATTATTCAGAAGTTAAACTTCATATAACTATCAGCATTCCATATACTTACGACGTTGAATGTGTAAGTTGTATCGCCTATAATTAAAATCAGACCCTAAACCCAAACTACAGAACAATACACTAATTACTCTCCAGCTCTCTACACCCAATATTTAAACCTAGTACATTCGACACGTGGTAGAGCCACGCTGCGGCTATATTATGGTTGTAGCACGAATGGGTCGGCCGACTGGGGAAAGACCCCGCTCTCACAGAATACCTGCGTAAAATAGCAGCTCAATACTGCTGTGTTTTGTATGGTGAGTGTGGAGATCAGGAGATCCTTTTTACTGGAAATAAGGCATTCGTTCATCTTAGTCAGCCATCTTAGTCCTCAGGGCTGACAACGCATCTGCATTTTGATTCGCAATCGAGGATAAATGTAGATGTCTATGGGCCACTGCATCTACTTACCATCAAGTGGACTGTGTGCTCGTTTGTCGTCATCCTTATTCTATTAAAAAAAAACTTATTTTATATATTTAATGTAGGGAAGCCAATGATGTCACATGTTTATTTTTTTTCCATGCCTTAACAGCGACATACATACTTATTTTTATTTTTGTGCATATTTATGGCACTAACTTTAAAATATAAGTTCCAATCCTTTTTATTAAATATTTAAACATGTAAATTATTAATAAAATATATAGTACCCGACTGCAGGGTCACAACGAAAGTACTTGCGATATTATAATTAACTCCTCTAGTCATTAAGATAAGATACAATATGTTACATAATCACTAAAAATAATTTATTTCAACAGTTTTTTTCCCAAAAAAATCCCTTTTTTCGTTCTAAATCACTCCTGGCATTCCTCTCTTTCTGTTGGCGTATACCAGGGTGTTTTCATATAAATTTGGAGGAAAAATTCCACCCCTAAACAAGCAAATAAATAAATTAATTTTTAGCAATTTGAAGTCGGTTTTTACTTTTCGATAAAAGTTATAATTATTTAACGTAGCTCATGGCTGTAAAATAGTCTAAGAAACATTATCATAATTTTGAAAGATCGTGATAATGTTTTAAAGACCATTTAATATGGTACGCATTTTTTTTCGTTTCCACTACTATTTTTGTATATTTTATAGAATAATTTTAAATAATAATCACATCTTCTTCTTTATATATCCTCGATTTAGAATAAAAATGCAGATGCGTTGTCACCCCTGATGACTAAGATGGAATGCATCGTTTTCAGTAAAAAAGGGGCGCCGGTTCTCTACACTCTACATACGGTCGAGCTGACCGACCCATTCGTGCTGCATCCATAATATATAACTGCAGCGTGGCTCTATAATGTCTAGATATAATTATATTTTAATTATTGGCTACTATTTTTGGTTTTATCAAAACAATACATAGACTAACCATAGCATGGTTTAGGCAAATTCATAGAGACCCCATTGAATAAGATCCTTTCAGCCATTGGGATGCGTAGAGGGTATAAAAAATTCCACTTACAAGTAAACAGGGTTATTTTGCAATAACAGGCCAAATTTGCAGAGAAGGTTCAGAATGAATAATATAGGCAAATAGTGAAGAAAAGTTAATTTAAAAAAATCTTAAAAGTTTAGGCGTTAAAAAAATGTAGGTAATGCATTATTTTAACTAATTTTACTACGTACACACATATTCGTAAAAGTCAATAAATCACATTCATTTTGAGATATTTTCAAATGAAAGAAAAAGCCTTTTTTACTCGTATTTACAAAAACACCAAAAACGGTATATCATTATTTATACATTTTAATTTAAGTTTAAAATTTGGCTACTCCTTGAAAAATAACCTCGTTTACCCAATGAACATAAACGTGAAAATAATTACCATATTTTAGCAGTCGCATAATCGGATACTTTATTTTCGCTATTCTATTATTTTAATTATTTTAATGTAAAGATATATTATGTTGATATAATGATATATGTGAATATAAAATCAATTATTGAGTTTTTCTGTCATGAAATTCTCAGTAGCTGCTCGCAGTCAGGAAGTTCGCGGTATCTCACCCCCGTGCCTCGGAAAGCACGTAAAGCCGTTGGTCCTGCGCCTGATCTCTCTCCGGTCGTGCTTCACCGTCATCGGATTATGAGAGTGAGGGAACAGAGAGTGCACCTGTGCTTGCGCATACACTTGGGGACTATAATCCGGTCCTGCACCGATGGCTAGCCTCCGTTGAGGCTGGCCGCCGTGACCGAAATTCAGTCTGGAGGACAATATTACTATATGTGGATATAGGTTAACATTAGTGTCAGTAATAAATTTAATATTAAGCGGCTAAACTGAATTTGGAATAAATGTCATCATTTTGGCACATTACAGAACATCATAAAGATAACAATTTTTATGATGTTCTGTACTTGTTGTTGGTGCTATTATTTATTTTTTGGTTCAATAAATTTATCCTTCGGCTTTGGAATCGGCCGTCGGATAGCCAGAAACAGACCTTTTTTCAGAAAGTACCTACTTGTAATTTTAATTTCAGGTAACAATATTATCTATTTGAAGTAAATGCTCAACCATCTCCACATACTCGTAGTATAAAACAGAGTCGCTTCCCGCCGTCTATACGCTTAGATCTTTTAAACTACGCAACGGATTTCGATGCGCTTTTTATTAATAGACAGAATGATTCAAGAGAATATTCAAGAAGGCTCATATGTAATAACATGCATATGTTGTCGAGATCCAAAAGTTACCCGTGCAAAGCCAGGGCACTAGTAATAATATACTAATATACATGATATATGCATATTAGTGTTGACTAAGTGGTTAAGTTCCAGTTCGCTAATTGTAAGCTACAAAAATACTTCAAGTTTTTAAGTTTTGCCTTTCGCAAAACTCTCGCATGAAAACAATTTTCGCTGGCAAACTTGATTATTCACACTTGCAAATATGTAGTATCCTCTTGATAATGAAGTTAAATGCATATACATTTGATAATCAACAATAACAATGTTAGTAGAAGTTATTGTATTGGCCTCATTCCTAAATGTTGACATTTTAATTTATTTTTAAATTTTTTATAAGTGTGTATTTATGTTGGAGCCTCTGTTTAGTGTGATTAGTTAAGTTTATTTTACTATGTCACTAGCGTTTATAGAAAATCAGTAGTAACTACTTACAACTATGTGGTTTCTATAAAATTTCTGCTGAGCCTTTTTAGTTCCGTTCCATTAAATTATATTGTTATGGTAATTTGTGTGTATGTTTGGAACTAAATAAATTATATTATTAATATTATTATAATAACAATAAATAACGCTCGCAAAAAAGCAATATTGTTAGACGCTCATTCTGACGAAACATTTGTCACTGCATTTAGGTTTTTCCGTATTTTTTATTTTTTTTAGACCTCCGCTTACGCGGGAAGAGGATGTACTATTATCGCTATAACAGGTACATTGACTATATCAGTGCCATTTTTCCATTGACTATATGCGTCGCATCTTTGGCGGTGTTCCTGCCACTTATCTTTATCTTATAAATATATTAAAAAAATAATTTTACCACTAATTGGTGTATTCTCCAGACATTTTTTACTCATAAAATGGACAGATTTTACACATAGAATGAAATGGTGATTAGTCCTATACGAACCCACCACGTAACGCACTCATTAATTTAGTAAAATTATTTAAAAAATATATCCAATAATTTTACCTGCTGCAGTGAAAGTTCGCTATTCATAGCACTTATGATTACTGGCTCACTTAACCCAGCTTGAACACTTCTCAAGTCATTTATGTTCAACCAGCACCAGCAGAGCACAGCCAAATGTAGTTTTAAGTTCAGTGCCGACATCATTGATTATCTATCTATCTGTAAGTAAAAATACCATAGTATATACTATTTGTTTTTTTTAAATACAATTTATAGTGATAGACGAGCATACAGTTTACCTGTTAGTAAATGGATGCTAGTATGTTAAGTTGCTAGGATGGAAGGTAAGTACCTAAAAGTTAAGCATGGATGTAACCTAGGAATAAATGTAAGAGGCATACAATATCAACAAATACAATCTCAACAAACAATTCTCCTATTCGTTCAACCTCTCCCGGCAAACAGAACCGTCACGGTTTCTCCCATTGTCAGAGAAGCCTGAAGCGTCACGTTTGGCAGGCGAATTGAACTTTGACGCTCTAGATGTTTTGCTCAGTTCTGGGTTTATTTTGTTGAATCTTATGGCTCCCATGGCTCGAAAGTGATGGCGACGGATCACTTATGCCGACACTCTAACTAGACCCCAATTAAGCAATTTTCGTTTTTGTAGAATTGCCTCCGGCTGGAATTCGAATCCTGGGTGACTGTAATCATGCCATATTAGTATACCACTTATCTATGGCCGCTTAAGGTACAATAGTAATGTCTAAATGTAAAGTAGGATGCGATGCTCATTATATTCACATGAGTACGTACTCAAACTCAGGTCGTATTAATTGACCCAGTAACGTGTTCAAGTGAATCTTAGTAGGTCAGTAGATGTTATGTTTACTAATGAGAAATGAATGAAATCTGTTTTTTTATACAGGATTTTTGAAGTGAGCTTTTGGGAAAGGGAAAAAGCATTGAACTCACATAACCATCACGATCAGATACATAAAATTGGTGAAAGCTATGTTGAAAGTCCAATTGATAAAATTTTATAAAATTGATATGTATGTATGTATAAATTTGCTTGCATTATATAAAGTACCTGGATGACCGAGCTTTGCTCGGTTGTAATTTAAAAAAAATTATGCAATTAGTTTAATTAAAATTTTCGTATTTTAAAAAATACTGGAAAAAAGAGCTCGAAATACCTAATACATTTTCTCACAAACGAAGGGAACTTGAAAAAAAAAGGAAAAAAGTCGGAACGAAGACAGGACGCGAACCAAGACATTACGATATCGCGACCACTCGATATCCACTTGAGCTATTACGATCATTAACACAATGTTAAAATTTACCTTCTTATATTGTAGCAGATTTTCATTGCCTGAAAACACGAACAAAAAGACATTTTCTAAAAATAAATCCTAGCTTGTATATATATATATATATATATATATATATATATATATATATATATATATATATATATATATATATATATATATACAAGAATTGCTCGTTTAAAGGTATAGGATAATAATTATTCTTATTCATGTAAAACAGCACAATAAATTAAATTTTTATTACTATGGTAATACGTTGATAAAAGAAGTGGATCAATAATGCAAAAGATCGATTGACGAGTCGGGATTGTTCTTTCGTAATTCTTTACTATAGACATCTGCTGTTGTTGATACACCGGCTCACAAAAATCTATACACGATCAATTACAGCATGAAGTCACAACCACGCAGTTACCTTTATTTTTCTATGTGTACGCTTCGCATTAGGATAGGAGCATCGTTCTGGTGTTACACCTGTCGAAAAACGCTGAACCCTGAACTGAAGCGAATATAGTTAAGTTCACTTTTTATCACATGTCACAGTTATATTTAAAATCTTCAGTTCTGTTCTCATTAAAGCAAGCTCCAACGTGCATGGACATCAGGTAATTTATGAGGCCCACATTTCTCGGGTTTCTTAATCCTCTTTAACTAATTTGGTGCAAATGGGACAATATTGTGGGTAAACTGACATCAAACGCTAATTCCTTATTTTTGAAGTGAAACTTTCTTAGGGTCGCTGGGTCGCTGGGCACTTTTAAGTGAAACTTTCTTAGGGTCGCTGGGTTGCTGGCTCGCTGGGCACTTTTAAGATGGATAAAAAGCACTAAACTCGTTTGACCGTCACGCCATATACATAAAATTGATGAAATTAATGTTAATGTATTTATAAATTAATTCGATAAATTAAAAAAAAGTTGTTGATAAATATAATTTCTAAGAAAAATATTTCCTAAAAATATTTATTAACAACACAAATGTATTTTCAGTTCAGTTCACTTTGTATTAATGTATTTAATGTTATAAATAACGTAATTACAGTAACAATGATTTTAAATTTAAACACTACAATAAAATTATATTTACGGATTTGCACATTCAGACGAACAAGCTAGATTGTGAATGTGGTCTCTCTTACATAGGTCAAACAAAAAGATCTATAAAAACCCGCGTGAAGGAACATATAGCCGACGTGAAGCAACTACGCGCCGGGAAATCTACAGTCTGCGAAAATGTTCAACATCGTCCCCACTATTACATTACATTTGATAAACTAAAAATCCTCGCCAAAAGAACAACGATTCCTAACAAGGATGATACGTGAGGCTATTGAAATTAATAAAACATCCTAATTTCAATAGAGAAGATGGATGGGTGCTGCCATCTGCTTGGGAATCTACAATCAACCTAAACCAAGCATACCACTGCAAGCCCTCATGATACTGTAAGCTCCTTTTGCGTAAATCGGACCGAATGACATTGGGACGTCAAACATCTCAGCCCCCCCCCCCCCCGTGACGGTGGGTGCTGTAAAGCACCCGAAACGTCGGGAATTAAAAACGAAGTTAAAATAGTGGATTAAACGCGATAAAATCCGTAAATATAGTTTTATTCAATATGTAGTTAGTAGCTAAAAGTTAGGTATTTCTGGAATTATAGTATACTACCAATAACTAAAGACCACACGGTAACAAACGTGTTGCCACCTTAATACACTCGATTACACCTAAAGCACAATATACAAACAACCACAGTTTTAAAAAAAAACTGTGAGAGCGTGGTCCTTCCCCGGTCGAGCCGACCCATATGTGCTACAACCATAATATAGCTGCAGCATGGCTCTACCACGTATAAAAATATATCATAAAATTATGCATAAAAGTCATGTATTGTAATAGCTTATAACCTTGTGCGTATTGTTGTAACCATTTTGTTCCGTGGTGTCGTAAGAAGCGACTATAAAATACGCCAGGAAAATCGTATGGCTTCGGATAGGTGGTGTTGGATATCTTGATTACGCCAGACGTTGAATATCCATGTCAAGGACGAGCAGCAGCGCCCAAGGTACGAGATCTGTTAGCGCTATCTTCAATACGCGCGCTAAACAAGATGATTAAGGCATATCCTCTCCTTCAACGGGAGCATTCCATGTCTAGCAGGACTCCTATGGAAATATCTCCTATGGAAGACGTCATATCCTTTGTCATTACCAATCTAGACGAAATCCTACTCTGAATCAAATGTTTGAGTGATTTGTACCGCTGCGATTTGCCGTGTCTTTAATAAAGAGAAACCTGGGTACCTATTTTTGCTGAAAACGGAAATGCATAGAATGCTTTGTCGCCATTATCAGACGCGCTCCAATGGGACTCGTAGGAGAGGCGAGATGATGACGACGACGATAAACTTGTCGTCTCCTGATTCACACAGTCCTTTTTAAGCTCACTACTGAAAGATGCACCGCGTGAATGACGTTGGCATTTGGAAAAGAAATTACCATAGATATCATCCGTTTTATGACATTTAATATTGTATGTAAGGATAATATGGTCATCCGGTTAGTGGGTTTGGGTTATAATTATAGTAAAGTGATGGTCACTTTCTTATAATTATAACCCAAAAACTACAACCTTGTTTGCATAGACGACTTTGTCGCCGGCGCTGCTTTATCGACGCCATTTTGACAGTATACATTATAGTAGATATTTAAGTCGATTTCAGTATTGTGTAGTGTAGTTAGTTCTTTTTAAATTCACTTTTCTATGTGTTGCTAATTATTGCCAAAGCAAGTTTGCTAAATTTTTTTCCTAAAATATTAGTTATAATATAGTATACAACTTCGGGTTTTCGTCTCTGTCCTCCTCTTAGTTTTGGTTTTATACGGCTACAGCCCTGGTGACCACGTTACCCTCACGTACCTTAATAGTAGCAAGCAAATAATAGCAAGAATATTTCAATAAATATTTATACAAATATGTCATCAAAATACAATTCAGCGTCAGCATAACCAGTGAATAAATAATAGGCATAATGTACCTTTGTAATTATGTACGTATGAGTGTGACGGCTAGATAGCGCATATTCGGCAGCGGTAATGCGTGCTGCGGGTACGATTCTTGCAAGAAACAAGTATTTGTATGGCTTGCAGTTCAATTTACGAATGTAAAATGCATCCACAATACTGCAGTAATTCCTTGTGTCCGGGTATTTTTAAAAAAAGAGCAAAGTATGTTTACGTAAATAAATTCAAAAATATGTCTATATTAGGAATATGAAATTTATTTAGTAGTTTATGATTTATTTGATATTGATAAAAATAAAGCAAAATATTAAGTACCTACTTCTTCTCAAATATAGTAGACTTGCAACGAATATTCGGCTACTATTCGGTATTCGGCCTATTAGGCTAGTTTTATCCTATTCGGTCGAATACCGAATACTTAATTAAGAGGTTTTATTGTAGTCGGATAATTGGTAAAATTACAATATTTATTTATTTCATAATTTTTTTTTCTTGTAATTATTAAAGTAGTCATAGGTACATTGTCAACTTCCATATTATAAACATTCCGTGTATAAAAAAGAACTACCGGATGAATGTCTAATGCACTCGAATTATCGTAATTAAAATGGAATATAATGGTGCAGGAAGTCTAATTATTCTTCATTTTCAGGCAGTAATTTACTTCTTTTCTTCTCGTAGACAATCCCAGCTTCAAATAATAGATGGTCTGAAGAATAAACACTACT